AATGGTAATGGCAATATTGGTAGTATTAATAGTGCCCCATCAGCTTTTCAAACTAGAATGAATGGGTTAACTCATCATCGTAATAATTCCTTGATATCCAAACAATCACCATCAAAACCAGCAAATTTGCCTCCTATACCTTCATCACCCATATCATCATCATCATCATCATAATCTTCCTCCTCATCATCATCACTAGTACCAACTGCTACATCAACCATAATATTTTGTCGAGGAGATGATGATGTACTTTTTTTCTCTCTCTGCTTGGCTAGTAACAACCACCAAACTCCGCTGGCTGAATCACAACTACCCTCTAAAACGCTTGTTTTCATCGAATCCACATCAAATCCCAAATCATCCAGTTTCTCCAATAATTCGATTTCTTCAGGTGTCGTGAAAAAGATTTTTTCATTAAGTGTTTTACTATCAACAGATGACCTTTTAGATGCTCTTGATGTAGTAGATTGTGATGGGCCCCATGATTTTGTCGTTGACAATGTCAATGATAATGATTGTACATTGGAAGTTCTTGGTGTTGATGTGTTTGTTGATGATGTGTTTATTGATGATGTGTTTATTGATGTTGACGATGATGATGATGATGAAAAATTATTACTAATATTATTTGTCATTAATTTTGTTGTTGAAAATATTTCTTGACGTTGTCTTTCTAAATGATTAATTGCATTTACTGTCGATATTGCAGATGGTGATGTTGATGCTGATGTTGGTGTTGGTGACGTTGATAGTATATTTAATGAATTGTTGTTATTAACATTATTATTATGTATATCATTATTATGTATATTATTACTATGTGAATTATTATGTGAATTATTATGTGAATTATTATGTGAATTATTATAAATATTACTTTTATTATAAACAATACTTTTAAAATTAAGGGAAAATTTTAGGGTAAATAAAATTTTATTCTATATATTTTATAAAGATTGATAGTTTTCAACTTTCAAATCTAATTTAGTCACAAAAAGAA